GTAGTAGTAGTAGTGATAGTAGTGATAGTAGTAGTAGTAGTAGTAGTAGTAGTAGCAGCAGTAGTAGTTTACAGTCGTAGTCGTAGTCGACGTCGCCGTAGTGGCATTTGTGGGGTGGCGGCGTTGGTGGTGGTGCTCGTCTTCCGTGTGGCCGTGCAATTGAGATTTGATCCACAAGTTGCCCTTTGCAAATCCTCTGTCCTTGACCAACCCTAAACTGCCCTCCGGAACGGGCGTTAACAATCATGACAGGGTCTTTAGGTACGTGACTGCATATAGTGTAAGGGACCCTCTTCAATAGTGCTGTTAGAAGACCAAGCTTCTATCTTAAGCCCAAGCCCTAAACGAAAGTAGCTCCCAACAGAAGATCCAAGGCTTGTCCCGTCCTCAGCCCACTTCCTGCACTGCTCCTTCTGCTTTGGAAGGAACCTTTGGCAAGCATCGAATCAACACCGAACTCTACAATCGGAGCTGCTCTAAACTCGACATTACATATGACCCCAAGCCTAAGGCTAACTCATAAAACAGATCCTGAACCCCAAATCTCCAAAACCCAAGTGTGCTAAATTCTCTCCCGCTGGGGCGACCGAGGAGCCAACAAAATGTTAGGGCGCCCGCGAGGTTCACGATCATCCTCTCTCTGGGTTGTGTTGAAATTTCGAAGGGTAGGGCTTCAGGTTGAGGACTTATGAGGAGTAGTGTTTTTAGGTGTGTGGGGTTAGGGCTTGAGGGTTTAAGGCTTGTTTAGGGTTAGTGCTTCGGAAGTCAGGATTCAGAAATGAGGGTTCAACATTACCAGCATAGTTACAGTATTCCATAGTACATTGCTAAGTAGAGTGTGTATATATACGTATATATACACACCATGATATTATATAACATTCTGGATTATCAAAGTGTATATCATAGGATGTTATAAGAAATTCTAAATAGGTCATAGCATATCACAGTATACTATAGTAACTATAGTATGTCTTGGTATATCGTAGTCTATTGAAGGAGATTACCGGAGCAAGGCACAAGCAGGCTTCAGTGTTTCCACATGGAGAAGCTCTCTGCTGCCGAAGCTCGTGAAGTAGGTCGCCCGTGCCATGTCGGCGTTAAACCTGGGTTATCCCTTGAAGGAACGCTCCTATAGAACCTTGGAAGAACCCCTTAAAAGAGTTCCAAAACACATCTATGAGTCGGTACTTCTCTAAGACGACGAGGGAAAATGAAAAGTGTGCCAAAGTGCCACCAAGTCGGCTCACTTTGTGGCGGGCTGGGATCACTGGGCGTCGGGAAGTAGGCTTGCGCAATGCCGTTCAGATGGAAGATCGGTACAAATAAGTTCTGCAGGTTTGAATTCCTTGGCTGGGTTTCCCCAAGAAGTTACTGCACCAAATACAAGCTGAAACCTGAAGAAGCCCTATGTCCCCCTGAACCCGGAACCCTAAACCTTAGCCTCAAACCCAATGTCTATGTCCCTAAAGTACACAAACTTGTGCTGAAGAGAGCTAGTGCTCAAAGTGATTCCGGCGTTGTGGATGGACGTCAGGAACTCATACCTCGACTTTCGACGAGATTGCACCGAGATTGGCGCATGGTTCTTGAAGGGCTTAGGGACTACTTGGAGGTTCATGGTTAGTTATAAGTAGGGTTATATGTTGGGTAACTGTAGTTATAACCCATATTCGGGGACCTACAACTCCACTTATAACTACCCATGACCTCCCAATCGGGGCTTTGGGGCTTTAGCATGTTGGGAGTTTGGGGTTCTAGGGGTAGGGGGTTTTATGATTGAAGGACTTAGGGTTTTTGGGTTTTGGAGTTGGAGTTTTGGAGGGTTTTGGGCTTCGGGTTCGGATTCTTTAGGACGTTGGCTCTTTTGTTACAGGACTTTGCTTTTTTTCCCGGCCAGTGGATCCAAGCCTCCAGAAGTCCTAGTTTAGATGTGCCAGTTGGCAGGACTCAGGACGAAAACAGGACGCTGAAGACAACAGGTTGATTTTTTTTTGGGGGGGGGGGATTTAGGGTCTAGGGTTTAGGGGTTTTGGGAGTTCAAAGACACGTCCCAGTATTCTTACAATACACTGCACAAGGCAACGGCAGGAACATCGAACTTCTTGCAACAAAACACCCTCAAACTGAGGCATTCACACAAAACTGTTGAGCCCTCAACCCTAAACCCTAAACCCTGCACCCTAACCCTGGAAGCCAAACCTTAAGGACCCCAAAAGAGAGCCGTTGGTTGCACCCAGGGACATCCTGATCATTCTAAGGTCCAGGTACAGGTAAACCCTAAAGCCCTAAACCCTAAACCCTAAAGCCCTAAACCCTAAAGCCCTAAACCCTAAAGCCCTAAACCCTAAACCCTAAAGCCCTAAACCCCTAAAGCCCTATCGCCTGCAGAAGCCCACCATAGCTTTTGGATGAAATTTCCGAGCCCGGCCCTGCCATTGACCTCTCTGAGACTTCATAGACATACTTGACGATGATTCCCCCGAGATACTACGGGGGGCTAAAAGCCAAGGAATGAGGGTTTGGATGGCTGCCGATCACGAGTAGTATACGGAACTTAAGTCACGGTACTACCCTGAACATTCAGCCCTTTATGCGACCGGAATTGGTGCAGGTGTGCGTGCAAGACAACATGACGTGAAGAACAGCCGAACCCGACCCAATGGACCTACACCTAATTAAAGAAAACTACAGGTGGGGAGTTTAGGGTATATAGGGCTTCTATAAGGCTTCTATAAGGTACATAGACCTTCTATAAGGCTCCTATACGGTAACTACCCACCTGAAAATGTCCTAGACCTAAACCCTCGAAGAAATCCAAGAACTTCGGGTTTCAGGGGTTTTGCCCCTATCTTGGGGGGTTCATGGTTAGTTGTAAGTAGGGTTTAGGGGCTTAGGGTTTGGGATTTAGGGTTTAGGGTTTAGGGAGGCTTAAGGGTACTTGGAGGTTCATGGTTAGTTGTAAGTAGGGTTTAGGGGCTTAGCGTTTGGGATTTAGGGTTTAGGGTTTAGGGAGGCTGAAGGGTACTTGGAGGTTCATGGTTAGTTGTAAGTAGGCTTGTAAGTAGGATAACTGTACTTATGGCCCATATTAGGGGGACTTTTATAACCCCACTTATAACTACCCCACGCCAAGTAAAGCATAGATTCTTGCAAGGAGCACGGAGGCCTCATAACCGGCGGGCGAGATCTCCACTACAGCGAGGCTGGACAGCACCTTTCTGGATAAGGGGTTTATGAAAGGTTCACGAAGGGGACAGTAGGGATGCGATGAGGGCTACACTTCAATTTCAAACCGTTGAACTCCGCGTCTGGTGTTGGGGCTCGAGGGTTTGGGTCGTAGAAGGTTGTGTGTTGGGGCTTGAAACCTAAGACTCTATAAGTAATACAGTCTTAGGTTTCAATAACACCTATCTAAATCCTGATCCTACAGCAACACAAACCCTAAACCCTAAGACTCTATGACACCTATCTATAAAGCCTGATCCTACAGCAACACAAACGCACAGACCTCTGCTCTCGCCGCAACTTACTCCCTTTTCGGCGCCTGCGCGATCCCCTGGATCACCATCAAGATGTTGCCTTGGCTCTCCCAGCCGCCACATACCCGACAGATTCGTGCAGGGGGAGCCCCCTTGAATCACAAGTCATCACTCGGCATACCCTAAATCCATCCCGAATCCACATTCAATCCTAAGCCTAAGCCCTAAAGACTAGAACTAAACCCCAACACCGGGACTTCGAAGGGAAGGCTCGATGCACGTCCGACTGCATGCTTGCAGGCTAAGCTGCTGCCGAATGCATAGAACCAGCCGTCTTGACCGATTCCCCATGCCTTGGCAGATCAAGCCCTAAACCGAAAAACCTAAACCCCAAACCCTAAACCCTAAACCCCTAAACCCCAAACCCTAATCATCCCTAAACCCCACACCCTAAAACCATAAACCCATCGCTCCCTGCTCCTTGCCTTTCGGCTTCTTTGGCAAACAAAGGGTCACACACTAGGGTTTAGGGGTTTAGGGTTTAGGGGTTTGGGGTTTAGGGTTTAGGGGTCACACACAATGATCCCCAAAGCCGTGCACGACTGTGGTTTTGGGGTTTAGGGAAAATAAGGGGGAATTGCGAAGGTAGTGTTGATGGATGCGACGATTTTGGGGTTTAAGGTTTTACGGTTTAAGCCCATGAGGTCTGATGGGTTGCAAACGAATGAGGACACAGGACAGCGAGGTCATGATGCGCAATCAGGATTACGTAAGCCAAGCGTCGTTGTAGATGACCATCAGCTGAAAGCAGTTGTTTAAGGCGAGTATCCTGAGCGATGGCATGCGGCTTTGAAAACCTAGCTGTGAGTCCCGGCCTAGACTGCAGCCCAGGTGAAGAAATTTGGAACAGTCTTAGGGTGCCCAGCAAAGTACAGAAATGAGAATGGTGCTCAGCACCAGCTAGGGCCCCCAAGAACTACATTCCCAGTGGAGTTCCTCAGGATCCTCAGGAACCCCTGCTCAAGTGCTGGACATCGCAACAATCGCAGCACCATACGTGGCATGTACGGCAACGACATTCGGATTCTTAAGCATCTTAATATGGCGTTGTCCAAACTCCGTTGATTAACGCTTGACTCAGGCCGTTAAGATAGGAAGAACCCTTCCAGGCTCAGTAAGTGAACTAGGCTGGCTCTTCAAAACCCGCGGAACAAATCCTGCAAATGGTCGTCTTAAGCCCAACACGGGGCCATAGAGCAAATCACAAAGGAAGGGGTCTTCCGGGCGTGCAATTCTTTTGATACTACAAATGATTAGAAATGCTATTGTTTGTAGGGCTGCCTGCTAAAACTATAGTGTAATCGACCCAGCACACCCTATTCTAAAAATGTGGTGGCCGCTTTTTGCTGGTGGGAGTCTTTAATGCGCTTCGTGTTGCTTAGAGGCGTTTGTTCGCAAACTTTTGGGCAAACTCGTTAATGCTCATATGCTTTGGCCGGCTGATTTCCATTCTAATGGACTACTGTGCAATACCAGGCCTCCGACTTGGTCGATTGTGGGGGGGAGGAAAAAGACTTGAACATGAAGGTTTCCCAAAGGGTCCTAGGTACTGTTATGGGGCATACTTCCCCAAATCATAGTAGTAATTCTTATAATATAGACTACCATATAGGTACTTCGGACCCTTTGGGTTTTTAGTCTTGGCAATTATCTTGGAGTGATCGGGGCTTGGTTTGGGTTTTTTGTGGATCCCCAAACCCGACAGGGGCACTCGCGGAGCACCGCAGACGCTGCAACCCCCGCGGACTCCCAAAACCCTTCTAAATTACAGCCAAGCCCACCCAGACCCCGAGCCAACCCACACCCCAAAATCTACCGAACCAAGGTCAGGGGGGGTCAGGGGTAACATATTAAAAGAATGGTCGAGGGGAGTGGGGCCTCCCCGACTAAAGCAGCCACCACATGAATATCAACTATGTGACATGATGATCATTCAGCAGGGCCTTCGCGGCACAGGGCTCAAGAGTGCCGGTGCGATCAAGTGTCATCGCCGTCCAGACAAAGGTCATGCGCCAGTTGCGCGTCATGAAATACCGCCGGAAGAGGAAAACGCCTGTCAAGGAGTCGAAAACATATCGTTCTCGTTCTTATACTGGCTTTTATTTAATTTTGACCAAGCAGGTATTCAAAGAAACCCGATTCATAATTCAAGCTGCCGCCATCTAGCCGTCAAGCTGCCATGCTATAGCCTAGAGTGGATACAGAACCTTTGCAGGATCTAGGTCATTTGACGGTACCACACCTCCTCTGGCCCGGCACACAACATCACAGCCACCACATCACAGCAGGTGCAACGAGTGCGCTGATCTTCCCTAGACGACGAATGTTTGTACTAATGCGATGTATTGATTTGGCCGTGTTTTTTTGTTTGCGTCCAGTGTTTCTGGAGTTTGCCCTGAGCTCAGCCCAAACCCTAAACCCCTTAACCCTAAAACCCTAAAGCCTAAACCCTAAAACCCTAAACCCTAAGCCTTGTGACTCGAATCGGACATGTAGGATTAAGGTTTAGGTTGCGATCGACACAAAGCCGAAGCAGTACGAGTACAGAGCCGTTCCCACAAAACCATCTTTAACCACAAACTTACACCCTGCCTAGACGCCCCAATTTGCCGCTAGTGATGGCCTAACTAAACTTTTGACAAGCATCATGAGTCACTTTTTCAATGTCAAGATAGAACCTGCTCGGTTTTGTAGCTTGGGGGGCAAACGAACGCATGCGAACTGCATCAGCCCGAAACAGACTGCAAGCCCGACAAGGCCACATATCCACAGACCGAACTCACAAGCACAAACTGGCAGCTGCACCAAGCATCATACGATTCTGAAGTGCTTGGACCCCGAAGCAATGTTAGAAAGTGCGGCTCCTGGCTGCCAATTTTGATATCGCCTTCTGCGCGTGCACAAAACTGTCTTGTCATAGCTTAGCAAGACGTTTACGTGACAATCCACTGCACCATGGTGCATGGGGGCAAAACTTGGCAGAATATCATAGGCTGGGCAGAACCCCCTGCCAGGTCGCCACGTTCACGCCAAGACTTACATGCAGGCTGCAATACTTTGCTGAGTAAGCAGGGCAGCAATCACTACAAAAGCCACGGCCACACTCACTTCGTGATCCACAGCCGGCTTTGCACCGCATGCCGTGGTGGATGCTGCAATACTTTGAGCTGTATGCCGGGCAGCAGTTACTGCAAAATCCTCTCGAGCATTCGGCAGACTCCAACAAACATTCTTTGCACAACTGAGCGGCGCAAAACTGTCCGTAGTGCAGGCTGCAGTATTTTGCCGAGTAAGCAGGGCAGCAATCACTGCAAAAGCCATGGCCACACTCACTTCGTGATCCACAGCGGGCTTTACACATTATGCCGTGATGGATGCTGCAATACTTTGAGCTATATGCCGGGCAGCAGCTGCTGCAAAATCCCCTGGAGCATTCGGCAGACTCCAACAAACATTCTTTGCACCATAGACTGCTGCAAGGCGCAATTGAGCTCTGCAATTGCCTGGCATGACCGCGCTTGTAACGGACGACCACTGAGTCTCCACAGTTGGGTGTAGTGAACCGCTCAGAGCCAACCCCTTTCTTGGACAGCTCGCATCGAACTGAGTTGCACAAACCTGCTACTTGCAACTTGCGATACACCCAGGTTCTGCGGTTGCCAGTGACTGCCCAGAACAAATCGAAGTCCCAACCTCGGGCTGCCCAATACTGATGAGTTGACAGGTCTGCTCGCTTGACCTTGATCATTGGTAAATCTTCAACTTGAATGTCGCCTTGGAGAAGTTCTTCGTAGGTATGGTCAATGTACCGTCCGCAGGAGAAGGTCTCTGCAATGGAGTCATGGGTAAATAGGATCTGTGACGGAGCCAAGTCGACAAAGCGCTTAGCCTGAGGCATCGCTACGATGACTGAAGCCTGCTGCCTCGCAGACTGAGCCAAGCAAGCGCAGAACATGTTTTGTTTTGCCCAAGGTTAGCCTTGTCAGAGCTTCGGGGCTCACGGCAAGAGCTTACGAAGGTTGCAGTCAGTGTGGGGTAAAAGAGCTCAAACACATGTTAACCAGAAGAAACAGTAGACAAAGCAACATAACAAAATAAGTCCAAGTTCAAGTCGACGTGCTTCTCGCCTCCGCTCGTAGTCCAAAGAAGCTGTAATCTATGCTTGCAAGAACAGCTGGAGGTCCATACATGCAAGTGTCCTCTACAATCTACGCAACACAAGAGGCCTAAAGCAGTACTTCTTGCAGCCCTTGATTGGTGTGAACCCTCCATGGTCCCCGCCTATCAGGAACATCGCGTTCCCGGCAAAGGTTCCCACCTTGGGCCGTTGGGATTGTAGAACCATGTGAAGTGCTTGCTGGAATGGTAACCAGCACAGCAACGGCTAAACAGCTACAGTGACTACCCTGGCTCTTGTGAGTACTGCTGCTTTTACCTTTGTAGCGTTATATTGTATTCTATATATATATATAACATGGACATCCTGTTTCTATGCGTATTGGAGCCATCACCGGGGTCTGCCCTCTTCGCCAACCTTGAGATGGTGATTGCAGGCTCGTGGGGTGCTGTTGTAAACAGGTATACCAAGTTTTCCTGGGACACGATGGTACCACCCTATTCGGCATGACTCCACGTGACCAACACCATGAACTTGGAGGCTTGCATGTTTTCGAATTGCAATGAAGACCGAGCTTCATGTCCTGAAATGCAGCGGGGTATGAAAATACATGTGTGTGTATATATATATATAGATATAGATATAGATAGATGTAGATTTGTATGCTTATACATGTATATATACATACATATACATATATATATATGTATATATATATATGTTTGTTTATTTATTTATAGATGGCGTACTAAGGTACGACAAGTGCCAAAAGACATGCCAACCCCACATGCACTCCACGTTCCAAGAAGGCCTGCCGGTTGACAAAAGGCACGACAATGAATGCCAAACAACATCTTCACCACGCGTGATGTGCCTGTGTGGTGATGTGCACACGCGTACAATATGCTAACCCCAGACTATCATAAAATGGCTTCCCGCAGCTGCACACGGGTTTTGGTACGCCATTGCTTGCGCGGCATGCCTTAACACATGACCTTGTGAGTCACAAGAGCAAGTGGTATATACATGTACATAGGTAGCTCTCTAAATTGGGGTCCCTTTTTAGCTCCCCAATATAGCACGGCACCCTCAAATTAAAAAGGACCCTAAAAGGGACCCTAATTGAGAGAACTACCCACATAGATGTCCGAGGAAGCGGCTGAGTTCTGGAGCGTCGAAGGCGCAGCAATGAACGCAATAATGTTCCTGGGTTGAGTTTTAAACCCTAAACCCTAACCCCCAACCCCAGAAAACCCCACAGAGAAATTGATACTGTCTGGGGGGCATGAAGACTCAGGCTCTGCGGTGTTATGTTTGCGGTAGGTTGAATGTAGGCTATGCTCGCATAGTACAAGTATAGTAGTGTATTGTAGTAGTTTTTACCCTTAACTTGCAGCCAGATGAGTGCGCAAGTCGTCGGTGCTAACCTACTTCCTTAAACATGCTACAGCTCACTCCGCGTCAGGTCTTATATGATCACTGAACATTATGTTATTAATTGTAGTATGATACAGGATATTGTCGTATGGTCTAGTATTTTCTGGTTTCATATCGTATATTACTCGAAAACTTATGCCATTTGAGGGCTGTGGTGATTATAGAGCTTGGTACAAGGCTTATGGGCCCGGATTCTGGAGGAGGAGTTCCGACTCAGAAACCCTAAACCCTAAACCCTAGAAATGCTGCCGTCATCCGGATCCACGGTCTCGGTATAGGATGTAGTTTTCTAAACTGGGGTCCCTTTGAGGGTCCTTATTATAAGGGTGCCGTACTATATTGGGGACCTAAAAGGGATCCTAATTTAAAGAACTACCCGTAGGGTATAGGATGTAGGTAGGGAACCGGAGAATCACAAAATGGGCCTAAACAGCTGGGGTGGGTTCTACTAGATAGATTCACGGGAGCTGCGGGGAAGGATCACTATAGGCTCCTGAGTTTCGAAGCTCTAGAAGGCAACGGTTTAGGGTTTTCTAGGCATTCATCAGGTTTAGGGTTTAGGGGATCCCAGACCTTCTGTGAAAGTATGGAGAGATCTCGGATGTTCCGGGAGAATTCTAAACCCTAAACCCAAACCCTAAAACCCCTAAACCCAAAGCCCCAAACCCCAAAACCCTAAACCCTAAAACCCTAAACCTGAAATCCCAAAACCCCAAAACCCCAAA